GCTGGGCTCAAGCATCCAGGCACCCCTCGAGTATCCCACAAATAAAAGGTGAGAAAATGTGCCAGGTTGTGACTTTCCATACAAGCCAACTAGTTGCTGAGGGAAAGTTCTCTGGAGAAGAAGAGAAAAATAAAAACACACCAGTTGCTCTGAGGTGCGTTCTGACTGGTTGCAACCCCGTGTGCATTGGAGTAGAACCGCTCCACAGCGTTTTCACCGCCTGAGACCTTTTGAAGATAGATTGCCAGGCCTTTCTTCTTAGGCACCTCGGGGGGGATTTGAACGACCAACCTCACAGTGAGCAACCGGGTGTATTAACCATTTGCACCATCCGGGGATTTCTCTTTGAACAACAATCCCGGCCAATTCCAGTGGAATGGAGGAGAGAGTCGGAGTGTGACTCTCAGGAGATAATGGAGCGAGACTAACACTTTCAAGTGCAACAATGGCAGGGACCCAAATCCAGCCCACTGATCATAGTCATGCAACAGTCCCGACCTTCTGATGTGATGCAGTGAGTCCCTGGGTGGCACGGGTGGTTAAGCACTCGGCTGCTAACAGAAAGGTTGGGAGGTTCAAACCCACCCCGAGGCACCTCAGAAGAAAGACCTGGTGATCTCCTTCCAAACAATCAGCCACTGGAAACCGTATGGAGCACAGAGCTATTCTGACACCCATGGAGGCACCATGAGTCAGAGTCAACTCCGAGGCAACTAGTTACTGGCGTGACACGACAGGAAATGCCTATCTCACTAGTGAAAGTCTCCTGTGGCCTCCACTGACCCCGAATCTAATCCAGCCTGGCCTTCTGCCCACCTGTTGATGGTAAACTCAGCACGGTGGGGCGGGGGTGGACGGAGCACTAGGAAATAAGTTATACAAGGTCACAAGGAAGAAGCCAGCCAGATCCAGAGTGGGGTCATCGCACAGGGCAGGAAAAGAACAACCAAGGCACTACAGCAAGGAGTGATGATTACCATCAGGCAATGAGAAGAGGTCTCTCTGACGTTTGAGCTGAGATGAGAAGAAGGTGGGGGATGCAAAGAGCTGAGGGAACAGCATGGCAGGCAGGGAGATCAGCACGTGCAAAGGTCCCAGGGCAGGAACAGTGTGGTATGTTGGGGAACAGCATTGAGGTCAGTGTGGCTGGGATGCTGCGGGCACTTGAGGGGGTGGTGGGGATGGAGTTGGGGGGGAACTTTGCAGAATGCAGAGAGGGGGAGAGTGTGTTATAAACTATATAAGGAAATGTGCCATTTAGACCATTTTTAAGTGCACAGATTCAGTGAGATGGATCACATTCACCATGCTGTCCAGTCATCACCACTATCCATGTTCAAATGTTTTGAAACCTGGGTTTGATTCCTGCCAGGCCACCTCATGCCCAACCACCACCCATCTGTCGGTGGAGACTTCATGCGGCTGTAACGTTGTGCTTTCTGCAGAGCTTCCCTATGAAGACAGACCGGGAAGTAAGGTCTGGTAACTGACTTCCAAAAATGAGCCAATGAGAACCCCATGACAACAGTCCGATCTGCACCTGGTCATGGGGTAAGGCAGGACGGGGGAGTGTTTTGTTCTGTTGTGCATGGGGTCGGCGTGCGCCAGGAGCCAACCGGACAGCAACAAACAACAAAGAGAAACTCTACCCCTTAAGTAGTAACTCCCCACGCCCCCTTCCCCAGCCCCTGGGAACTGCTAATAACGTTTGCCTCTAACCATTTGCCTAGTCTAAGACTGGCAG